TGAAGTGGTGTTCCGATTTACTTTTTACTTGCTTAGATGACAGAAGACCGAAGGCATGCGGCACCCAGTGAGGATCGAACTCACTACTCAGTTGTAATTGGTCGACCGAGACAAGCTTGCTAACCGTTACACCAGATCAAAGTGTTCCGATTTACTGAGCGTAGCTTAGATGTAGCTCAAGCTGGTAAGTATGGGGCACCCAGTGAGGATCAAACTTACTACTCAGTTGATCTATCGAGACAAGCTTGTTAACCATAACACTACGTCGAAATATCCCGCTTTAGTAAGCGTAACTTAGATGTGGCACAAAGCCGAAAGTATGGGGCACCCAGTGAGGATCGAACTCTCTATTCAGTCGTGCTTTATCCACCGAAACAAGATAGCTAACCATTATAACACATCGAAATGTCCCGATTTACTAAGCGTGGCTTAGATGTGGCAAAAGGCCGAAAATCTGAGAAACCCAGTAAGGATCGGACTCACAACTCAGTCGTAATTGATCTAGCTCGCTTCGAGGTGTGGATGTACCTACAGAGTATAGGTCGGTTGGGGTGATTTCCATGACCTTGGGTTCGAGTGGAGAAAGTAATTGAGCTCCGTTAGTTTAGGCAGAGGTGAAAGACCCTAGCAGATTTCTCGTTCCATCACAAAATAATATTAACAGTTAACAACTATATCACATTGAAGCAACAGTTATCATCCGAGCACCGAAATAACATTTCGGTCATATCACTTGAAACACTAGTTCTCGACCGATTACTAAATTTTAGGTATCACCACAGAAAACCCGATGCCTACGGTTTAAAAATAATTTTTAAAAATGAAAAATATTTTTTGAAGCCTTTATTTTCGTTTTAATTCCAAGCGAATAGATTAAATTTAATATTTCCAATAAGCAAAATACTTTGCCGTATTTAAAAACTAATTTAAATTGACTGGAAGGAGTATTTTTTTTGTGTGTGAAAATGGCTGATTAGCGCCCTTTTTTAGTCATCTTCCATCGGAATGTAATTCTCTTTATTAAAAAAATATTCTAAAAATAAAATATACTTTTCTGAAACTTTAATTGAGAAATATTACCTGGTTTAAAGTATAATTAATCTGATTTTACTGTCATATATGGTCTGGAGCCTCCGCTTATCGGCTTAAGGTCTTCGACAAAATCCAGAGATGGATATGCAATGTGGTTGGCCCTGATCTACAGTCACTTTCTCACAGACGTCCCGTCGCCTCCATCTGTCTTTTCTACAAATACTTTCACGGTAATTGCTTCGACGAGCTACTTTCGCTAGTTCCAAAACTGCATGAATTTAAACGTGCTACTAGGCTGGCATCTTATTCCCACCCTTTCACTGTCGAAACAGTTAAATGTAGCCGTTTCTTCTACTCCAATAGCTTCATCTCTCGCACTTCCTGTCTGTGGAACTCCCTTCCTTTTACTTGCTTCCCTGATAGCTATAATCTCTAAATATTCAAATGCAATGTCAATCGACATCACCAGATGCCTTGATCTATTCCCCGTCCTTCTCTTCATCCTTTCCTCTATCACGCCTCTTTACTCTCGCTCCCACTTTCTGTAACCCCTTGCGTGCTAGTGGTACTCCCGCATTGCTTGGGATGAAAAGCTTAAAAAAAATTGTTTTAAATATTATTTACTTTAAGTTTAAAATATCACAGAAATGCATTTTTAACACTGCGGTAGCTGTTTGTTTAAACTGAGGGCATGTTTGACAGTGCATGATGACATATTTATATTTATCTAATGTTCTATGGAGTCTTTAGTCATAAAAGATAATTGAATATAACGTGAACGCTTTTACTATATAATTTTTAACTACTCAGCAATCTTAAAACTTTCAGAAAATATTTTCCGTAATCTAATGTTTTATTGAATTTTAGATAGTTTCCAACTTTAAATTTACTATAGTTATCGCTCTTATTTTTGGATAATGTTGTGTATGGGCCACCGTATGTACAAAAATCGGCACGTTTACAAAAATTTCAAGATTTTTTAAAAAAAATTGATGTTTAATGATTTCTACTAAAGTATTCCATTTATGCTTAGTAAATATAATTTTTACTTAATAATATCATCTAAAATGGTAAAATTAATACAGAATTTTAAAAAATTTAAAACTTAATAATTTTTTCTAAATTAAAAAAAAAGAATTCTTGTAAAAATTCATTATTCATTGAAAAAAGATTTTTAAGACAATAATGTCCTTAATATATCTTATTTATAAAAGCTTTTCTAATTAAATAATATCATAGTTTTATTTTATTTTTTTATTTTACGATTCAGAACAGATTTTCGGTAAATGGTGTTTCTGTTTGACAAAATCAAATTGATGATTATGATTTTTCTAAGGAGTCCTACTTTTAACTAATACGAATAGGAAGAAGGTGAAATTTTAATTTCTCTAAATTTCATAAAATTAAATAAATGGTGGTAACATGTAAAAAATAATATTTTTTACCAAGATTTCCTAAAAGGAAAAAA